CACATAAATGATCTGCTTAAGAAGTGTAATCTTCTGTGAGTATCTATGAGGATGATACAATGGTACATGAATGCACCTCTAAAATCCTAGATACTCCAAGCTTGGAAGCTGATCTCTTCTTTGACTAATCTCTAGCAGCTCAGCCTTTTTTTTTTTTTTTTTTGCGGGGAACTGGCTGATCACATTCAGTACCTGAAAAACTAAACCAGTGTCTTTTCATCATCACTCAGCAGACCCTAAATTTTTACCTATTGTGGTGAATGGGGTCTTCTCTCAGGGCGGTTTGGTTTGGTTTGGTTTACGGCATATCGACCCCAATGGGCTATTTAATGCTGACAACTTTTTTTTTGTGGCAATATTTTGTTTTGTCAAAAAGCTATTTCTGCTAATATTTTTTTTCCTCAAAAATGTATAGTTCATAATATTATTTTCAAAAATGTATAGCTGGTAATATTATTTTATCAAAAAAATATATTGCTGGTAATAGTTCTTTTTTTTTTTTCTTCAAAAATTTATTTCTGTAATAATTTTTTACAAAGTATTTCTGGTATTAAAACCTATTTTTACACTTTTATAATGCTTTTTACCTCAGTTTCAGGGTTAACTATTTGCTGATAGCTGGGACCCTAACAGGTGCTAACACACCAGGTCAGGGTGGACCAGGGAGCACCAACAATTAAGATGTGGTTCCACGCTCCTCAAAACCTCCTGATCAGAGGCCTTGCTGTTGACGTAGTTTATCATCTTACCCTGGACGATTCTCTCAGGGCAGAATCATACCTTCAGTACTTAATGAGACATAAGCTCAACCCAGACCGCAAGTGGAACTTGTACATATGATCCATCAGTAAAGATGCTGGAAAAATCATCAATTCCTTGTAGCACTCCAGTGAATATTTAACTCCACCTGCTATCGTCTACATTTACAAGAGTCAGATCAGGTCGAAAATGAAGTACTATTTCCATATATGGGAAGGAGCTGCCCATTCATTACTTTCCAGTCTTGATAAAGTCTAAAAGCATCTTGCCATCCTTGTGGGTGATGAATTATTTTCCACCTTAAAACCCCTTTCCCACAGATGAAACGTTGCAAGCCTGTCAATGGTTCCTTGGTTCTACAAGTTTTAATCTCCACAGCTAAGACCCACTATGCTATGCACATTATAGTATTTCCTTCATATTCCCTTGGTGACACATAAGTTCTACTCAAGCTGCTTACCACAAACTGCTGCTTTGTGGAAGATGCTTCCCCAATCACTATAATCTTAACCTGTTCAAGTGTAGGGTTAAGCATTATTTTCAACACATATCCCCATAAACTGTACCTCACTCTGTAACACTCTACCTCAAGTGGCTCTTGGGACTTATACAAAGTCATCATTATTGTGTAAAAAAAAAAATTCTTTCAAAAATTAATCATGTACTTATAAAATCCACAATGCTAAAGTCATATAAAGTCATGATTTTATGTGGATTTGTTTTTAAAGAAAAATAAAATTACATAGAAAATAAATTTGGTAGAGAAACAATGGAATGAAATCATTAAAAAAAATTTAATTGGGAAAAGCAGAATTTGTGGTTAATTACAACAAGCCTTGCAGGTGTGAATGAAAACCAATCTCAGGTAACCAAGAAATTTAATGAACTTCATAAGAGGTAAACGTTTGAATGCATGAAGCGAGAAGAATTTTAATTTATGATAGACAATGTTATTAGCTGGTAACAGGAAACACGGGAGTCCACTCATTTTTTCATTTTTATTGAGGAAGATTTTTGCTTCTTTAATTTTCCTTTTAATTTTTATTTCTTTTTGGTTGTGTTAATGACAAACATTTAAATAATAAGCAGGATATAACCTTAAGCAAGAATTTTAATCAAAAACAAATTTTTCCATTTTTGATTCCTGTCACAAAACAAATCAAAATTTAAAAACCTCTAATAAATAGCAGGAAGAAATAAAGCATTTTGTTCTTTACAAAAACATTTGCAGTAAATGATACCATTTTTTTTTTATGCCTTTCAAGAGGCAAGATTAAGTGCTTCTTACATAATTATCATTATTTCCAATACACCTAAGCAGGAAGTGTAGAAATTGGACCAACGACCTGAGGTTTTCTAGTTGAACATAATTTGATTAGGTAATTTATATTATTCAGCCAGATTTGCATTTTTCTTTTTTTAATTCTTTGCAGTTATTTGGTTTTGTCTGTTACTAGAGAAATGAAGACTGAAGTCATGAACTGATGCAAACAATAGGTACAGACACTAAATGTCTAAACAAATTAGTTGGCTCAATAATTTTTTTTTTTTTTTTTTTTTCCACAAATCAATATCTTTACTAAATACTGCATGGATTTAAACTCTCCCAACATCTCTACAGAATTTGATAAAAAAAAAAAAAATCTGAGACTTGGTAAAAAGAGACACATGTATTGACTCACAAAGCAAATACATTTGACAAAATGCAAATTGGGTTTCTTAAAAGTGAAAGATTCGAACTCAATTTATTCATGAACAGAATAGCTTTTCAAAATGTTTACAAATACTGTCGGCTAAAAGTATCATTTTATTGTTTTAGAGTTTAACAATATTACGTTTACAGTATTAACATCTTATAAAAACATTATTAAAAGAACAATTTGGTAGTTGAATTTGAGGATTTTTTTTTTAACCAGTGATGAGCAAAACAAGTGATAGAAAATGTAGATCTTCCCACCCCAACTCTACAATCATTTATGAAGGCACATTTACAACTTAAGGATGAGTTACTGCAGTAGGGAGCAGATGGTGTGATGGCCCCCAGGCACCCATATCAGAAGGCCTCCTAATCAAAGAGAGAAATAAAAATTTAGTTTGGTTTTTGAAATTTTAAATTGTCTCTGTTAAATTCAAAGTACAAGTGCCCTATGGTCCCAGAAACTGGTATGAATGTGGATCCATGTTTTGATAAATGAGACCAGAGTAGATGCCCACCTACTTGAGTCTTAGGGGCATACAATCAAGGAGTTGGTCCCCAGGCATCACCAAACATCTGCACATTATTGAGTCACTAGTCAATTTCTTTAACCAGAAGAGAGTTTTTATTTTTTTTTTTAAATCTTTTCCTGAGTCATTGATTGAAAGGAAGGATTGAAATTAGTGATTTCAGGGTTCATTTTGCACAACTGTTGAACATTGAGAATGGATTCACCTTTAACCTCTGAAGAAGAATCATTATTTTGGTCAATTGAATCACTGGCTGATTAAGAATCACCTGAAGTATTTCCATTACAAGACTTTTAATTCACAATCTGAGAAACTACATTACAAATCAATAGGCATTTCACAAAAAAAAATAAAAAGAAGTTTTAATCTATGAAAAAATTGGAAACAATGAACAAACAAATGACCTACCATAAAATGATCTACTGTATGTATGTATGTATGTATGTATAGCTGACCACTCGTATTCGAGGATACCTGTCTACTAGGGCAACTAGCCAATCCCTATTGCAGACGCTTGCTCAGGCACATTTGTGTTTGTTCAACACCCACAGAGCCCACCTGTGGTTTATACTACAACTATGCTGAGCAGACCTTAGTTACAGTTTCTGGGAAAGAGTTGAGTGTAACATAATTATAATTAACAGATTTCTCTGTAGATTGTTATAATTCATCATGGGGGAGAGATGCATCATTATTACTCCTGCATAAAGTGAGCTGCATTATAATAACAAACACATCTCAATGTCAATATAAATTACAATCATACATGTGAATATTATTTGCACATTTATTTGATTATCAGATGCAATTTATGAACAGACTGCACAAATAAGAAATTAGTTCAATATTTAAATACATTACTGTTAATGATATTTGCACAGCTAAGATAAACCTTTTACAATAAAAAAAATTCTTGTTAAATCTTGAGACGTTTGTAGTGAAGCACATTAATGATGCCATATGTTTATCTCCAGTTGGAATACACGCCAAGCACCGAGATCCCTATGTCAATTTACACTGTTCCGATAATTGGATATTGACATCAGTATATTGTGGGATGTAATGAGTCAAGAACCTGTGGTAATACATATTGGGATATTCCAATTTTGTAAAAAGTGAGTTTCATTAGAACTGGTGTTCGTTATTAACTATAAATGTCTTCCATCTTTGTTCTCTTTCTTTGTTTTGAAGAGATTACTATTTTTGACAACCAGCATTTTTTTTTAATGGACATTTACAAAATAATGTTTGTTGTGCTCCTTGGGTTGCATAAAATTATTGGGTTGATTGCATGCAGCTTGTGGACTACAGTATATGCATCCTTGTCATAAGTGATTGTATTGGCTTCGCCCTGTCGCCAGCCACATGAAGGACAGTTGTGTCTGCAAAATATGTCATACAATGAACTTGTCATAGGCTGCAATATCACCAGTCCATCATTCCAAAAATGTTTGCAAATGCGACATGAAGGCAGGTGGCATCAACCTGGAAAATTCAGGCAGCGGATCATTGGCTTGATGTCAAAACTGATATTCAGATGAGTACAAAGAGAGTGCAGGTGTCAGCACCCATACAGCCAGATGCAGCAAAATCTACTATTTCAAGATCAGATTGTACAGTCATAGCAGGTACCGCCAATCGACCACAGACCAGACCATCTCCTGGTGCATACTCTATTGGCTTACAAGATAGAAGGATGCCAAGAATTACAACAAACACTTTTCTCTGTATAATATTATAATTACTCCATTTTAGTTCTTTCTGTTAATTTTTAGTGTAATTAATCTAGAAATCCCATTTTATTGTAGCTTGTATAGAAAAAATATAGTGTGTATATATATATATATATATATATATATATATATATATATATATATATATGGTTTGTATTATTGCTTGTTTATAGGAACTGCTGAGGGTTTAAAGAAATATTTCAAAACATTGTATACAGATTAAAAATAAAGAATAGCTTCAAAATGCATGCAAGGATGAGGAGAAGGAAAGATTTTACTTACTTGAGAAGCCAAAAGAGCTTATGGCCAAAACGCCTGTTTCTCAATGCTCGAGTCAACAGGAATTTTACCAGAGGACAATACAAATACATTTCAAATTTGAGGACTTGAACTAATTGCAAAAGATATTGGGTCACTTCATCATCTCTGAAAAATAAACATTTAACTTCCAAAGTGTTTGTTTAACAAAAAAAAAGTGTTATCAATTAAATACTGAGGGAAATAAGGTTCCTTTTATTTTTAATTAAAAAGAAATACAAACCAAATTTAACTGATTAAATTCTGTCAATATGAAATAGAAAAGATTATATCAGTTAAGGAATAAAATTAAATACTCACTTATCTTACAACTACTCTGAGTTTCATGGCAATTTCATCCATACATCAGTAAGAGGAGAAACAAGATATATGAACTTCATTTAATGTTGTATCTCTTAATATTGAGTGCTATAATTATAGACTGCTCGACTTAAAAATGTTATCCACCAGAAATATCCTGCCCAACTGTTATTTTTTTTTATCTTTATTTAAAAAAAACTATTATGTAAATTTTTGTAACTTTGTACAATATTTATGCATTATACCCTAATCTTTATTCGGTAAAAATTTCATTGCTAATCATGCATTACTTTTTAAGTAATAGACATATTTATGTCTTTGTTATTTCTGTTCCTTATATTATGGCCGCTACTGTATATATGATATAAAATGACAATTGGAAAAAAAATCTTAGATTTTGCCGCCGCGTTTCGTCTTCTGACTTTTTCAAGGCAAAAATGAAATCAAAATGTTTTTGTTGTTATAGTTACATTGAAAAATCCAAATTTAAAAAGATAGACGCTTCTGTCTAACCCTTTTTTTCTGATTAATGTAAATTACCTTTATAGTAAGGGATTTTTTTTTTCTTCGATTACATTTCAAGACAAAATGTGTCGGCAAAATCTAAGATTTTTTTCCAATTGTCATTTTATACCAATCTGTCTTGTCACAGAATTCATCTGAGAATTTAACTCTATATATATATATATATATATATATATATATATATATATGTGTGTGTGTGTGTGTGTGTGTGTGTGTGTGTGTGTTCTGGCAGAATTGCTGAGATTTAACAGCTGAGAAGGAATTGTACCTTAGTTATTTTTTGTGTAAATGTAGACCACTGTAATCTTGCAACTCAGCAATACAGAACTATCCAATTTTTTTTCCAGCAATAAATGTGTGCGCATAACAAATTAAGCACAACTCAAACAGAGAAATGAGAAGTCAGCAACAACAACAAATAAAACTTCCCAGCTCAGTTTATGTTAATATCTTTTCAGCTCATCTACTTTTGGAAACCAATTATATAATCTACCTAGATTATCTCTTTAGTTTTCTTTCAAATATAATTCAATTTTTCATTACAGCTGTGCAATCTTGCTTTGAAAAAATCTTACAGAAAGTAACTTTAATGAGAAGAGAAACTAAATAAGAATACAGAAGAGCTGCGGAAAAGTCCTTATCCAGACCTACAAGTCCTTTAAAAAGAAAAACGTTTGATCAAATTTGAGAAAGTAAGCCAAGAACTTTTCATCATCCTGTCAGATGACAGAAATAAATAAAATAAAAACAAATTTAATGATGATGATCATCATCATTCTAAGCATTCATGCTTTCCATTATGAAATAACCATAAATTATAAAAGAGAAAATCTTCCTTTTAACTTTCACAACAAAAGAAACCAAAAAATTTACTGATAAATAGTTTACAACAAGAAATCAAACAGAAATAAAGTGAAACAAAAAGCAGAATAAAAATTGTATACATTTTAAGAATAATTAAAAATTAACAAATACATTTGAAACAAAAACATTATAAAGGTAAACATTTAAAAAAAAAGAGGAAAATGCACAAAAAAATAAAATTATCTCAAATGTAAAATAAAAAAAATTCAGGCTTTTCTCAAGTTTTATTTTACTTTTTGACTGTTTTCCTCTGACCAAACCAACCAATCAAAAATTCAAAAAAATTATTTACATTATTCGGACTGTTATCCTCAACTTCATTGCCATATTCACAACGTTTCGGCCTTTATGTCTATGTTTCTCTATATATCTGTCTATATCTCTTAGATGAGGTATTATGATTACTTGCATTATTTACATTATTTGGACTGTTATCCTCATCTTCATTGCCATATTCACAATGTTTTAGCCTTCTTCAGGTGATTAGAATTTTGAACCAAACCCTTTATTCCATCCACTGGGGTAGATTGTTCTAGTTCCACATGCCATGCCTCTTCTAAATTCTCAATTATTTTCCTTTAACTCAACTTTACAAGTTTTTGGTTTACCACTGTTGTGGCCTGGTACTGAACTTTTTGGGTCTAGTCACTGGATCTAAACAACATCTTTATCCACTGGGGCCATGTGTTCAAAACTTGGAGAGTTGAGTTAACGGGAAATAACTGAAACAGAGAAGAGGCATGGCACGTGGAACTAGTACAGTCTACCCCAGTGGATGAAATGAAGGGTTTGGTTTGAAATTCCAATCACCTGAAGAAGGTCGGAGCATACAATGGCCGAAACATTGTGAATATTGCAATGAAGATGAGCATAACAGTTCAAATAATGTAAATAATGCAAGTAATCATAATACCTCATCTCAGATATATAGACAGATAGAGAAAAAGTAAATTGTCTCCACTGAATTTACTGTCAATTATTCAATTTATTTCCTTTCTTTTAAACTATCTTTTAAATATGCTAGCATATAAAACCTGCCGCAACTATTGTATTTACAATTAACATTACATTATTATCATGTTAAGCAAGAAACAAGTACTAATAGTCTAAAGCATATTGGTAAATGTTAGTCTACATTTCTAGGATGAGGAGTTATCACTTTTTACCCTAATTGACTATTCTCCTCATCTTTGTTTTTGTTATCACAATGTTTCATCCATTTTCCCCTCCAGCTTCATCAAGTGTATATTAATCTGGGTAACCTACAGGGAATTCTGAACTCAACCCTTTATTTAATCTATGAGGGTAGCTCTTGTTCCATTGTTCATGTCTAGGGATATCAAGTCTAATTCTTATTACTGCTCAGTTATTGCTCACCCCGTTTCCACAGAGTCGAAACACACATTGCCCAGCTCATGGATTGAACTCACAATTACTGTGTCATCAAATCCATAAACCAACACTTTAATCCACTAGGCTATTGTTCTGTAGGAATTCCCCGCAGGTTACTTGGATCAATATACACCTGATGAAGGGCAGGGGCACAATTACCAAAATGCTGTGATAACGAGAACAAACCTGGAGACAATAGTAAATAGTGTAAATAATGTATGATGATGGGCTGAAAAGTTCTTAGGCTCACTATGAACGAGAGATGCTAGAACTGTGAAATCATGCCTGCATTAATTTCAACACTTCTTATTAATAACTGCATTGTTTCTTTCCAGATGAGCTGACAGCTGACTGTTCAAAGAAACCTCTAAAAGTAACAATTGGCAACTTCTCTTGAAAATGAACAAAATTTGATATTGTGGTATTATCATGTACCTGCAGAAAAAAAGGTTTAGCCCACAAAGACGTTCATGCTGACAAGGTTGTTACGTCAGGAGATGATGTTCCAGTTTTATCAACAGTGCAAATGTAGGCAGCTGAATTTAGGAGGGAGAGTTCTGCAACTGCCGCCACCAAGGAAAACACTGATCATGTTTACCATATGATGGTAATGGTGATGGAGGATAGGTAATTGAGTATGAATCAAACAGAATTAGAATATCCCATCCTATGTCTTCTGACCTGATTAAAAGCATGACATCGCAGTCACAGAAAAACATGACATTGAGGCAGATCCAGCAGATATCCTTAAACATTTCCTAACCCAGGATGAGTCGTGGGTTCATCATTTTGACTCAAAGACAAAGAGACAAGCCATGCAATTGAAACACTTCTCGCCTGATCCAAAGAAGACCGAGGTGGTTTCATCTTCAAGGAAGGTGATGGCCTCAGTTTTTTTGGAATGCAAAAGGCATTATTGACTATCTTCAAAAGAGGTACATCATCAGTGTAAAGTATTGTACCAAAATGAGGCAGTTACTAAAGTCTATCAAGACCAAACACCCAAGAAATCTGACAAAAGTAGTCTTGTTTCATCATGACACTGATGCAACACACAAGTCTTTGGTTTCAGTGGCTGTTGTATATGATGGTTGTTTTGAACTGATTGATCACCCTCCCTATGCTCCCAATTTGACTATCATCTGTTCCCCAACATGAAAAACACATGGCTGGGAACCAGTATTACAGTGATGATGACATCTACAATTCATGATTTTTTTGACCAACAAGATGAATAGTCTTCTTTGAACAGTCAGTTTACCTGGAAAGAAACAATTATTAATAAGAACTGAATTTAATGCATGCAAAAATCTAGCATCACTCCTTCATAGTCAACTTTTGAGCATTTTTTTTACCCACCCTTGTAGACTAACATTTACCCATACACTTTAGACAACTAGTACTTGCTTAACTCCATAATACTGTAATTGTTATGTTGTTATGTTGTGTATAGTTCTCACAAGCATGCAGTGTAATCAAGGAAAGATAACTACCTCCTGAGTGTAGAAAGCTTACCACTTATATACAACCTAATTTGCATATCACCACATCTCCTGGAACCTTAGAGGCTTGATGCCCTTGGTAAATTTTCTACTTCTATGAACAACTCCAGGAGGTGTACTGCTTGTCTCATGGTGATTGCCTAGATTCTTCTTTATGGGAGATCTGAGGTCTCACTGAATTTTCTTCACTTGAACCTTCCTCATGTTCCTCATTATCACTAGACACACTCATTCTCTCCTTCGCTTTACTCTCAAAATCTTAATGATCATTTTGATCCCTCTCTTCAACATCAGGCTCTTCCTCCATTTCAATATCTTCTGGCTCACTTCCAAATTTAAATTGGTCTTCATGAGCTAAAACACACTGTCCATTTTTTGTTAATATCACTGTATTAAATCCTTTTTGATCTACAAATTGTGCTTTCTCAGTACTCGAATCCTTACTTCTCTTGTGCCATACATTCTCATTTGTTGATAAGGACATAGTTATTGGGGCTCTAATTTGCACCCCACCCATCAATGCCAAGGGGCTTTGTGTTCTGCCCACATGCAGAATTGCCCTGTAACTTAAAAGCAATCTTGGCAGATAACTTTCTAGGCTGCAATTCCCTGAAGCCAATGCTTTCAATCCAACTTTTATCATTTCAACCAACCTCTCTGCAATGCCATTTGACTGAGGATGGTATGAGGGGTTTCGTATGGCCTACATTCAATTCATGTTGACCACATACATAAGCTTTCTTCAGAAAACTGGTGCATTATCCAACATCAATGTCTTGGGTACTCTGTTCCTCAAAATTACTACTCTTAACACCTGTTTTACAGTACTTGCTTTTCTGTCCAAAGTTTTAACCACTTCAGGCCAACCTGAATATGTGTCTACTAGTATGAGGAATAGTCCTACATCTTTAATATATGGCATGATCCATGGGTACGCTTATCCATGGCTCCTCCTCATTTGGCCACATATGAATCTTGGTTTGCATAAAGTTCTTTATCTTTGAAAACTTAGGGAATTTTCTGATATAATCTTTGTCTCACATATAACCCAGCCACCAGACTCACAGTTTCAGCTTCAGTTGTGTGTTCAATACATCACCATGTATGTCATCGTGTACTGATTTAATGATATCTTTTCTTAAAGACTTGGTGATACAATAAGATCTCTACTACATATGACTCCTCTTTCAATTGTTAATCTGTGTCTTTATTTCTTAAAACGCTTTTCTGCCATTTAGCCATTGTTCCATATATTATTCTGTATTATATTCAGTACTCTTTTTTAATATAGAATCCTGCTCGGTTTCAAACTTGAGCCTCCTGAAGGATAACACATCTGTCTCTACCCAGTGTCAAATTCTGTCCTCACATCTATCATTTGTTTCAAAATTCTGGGTATTAAACTTCAATCTTGACAATGCATCTACATGTGGAATGGCATTTCCTTTACTATACATAATGTGGAAATCTCATGCCATAAGTTAATCACCCACCTCAAAATACTGGACAATGTGACTTTAGGCAACTCTTTCCTCAGGTTGAAAATGAATTCTAAGGGCTTACAAGCCCTTAGAATTCATTTAGTAGAAATTTTTTACCCAATAACAAATTGTGTGCTATTTCAATACTCCAGACAATTGCCAGTGCTTCATTTTCAATGTTTGAATAATTTGTCTCTGCTGCTGTCAACCTTCTGGACAAATACATGATAGAATACCCCTCTTGTAATGAGATTGTTGCTATGGCACATTCGCTAGCATCAGTAGTGTGAGTTCTTTTGTCAGGTCAAATGCCTTAACTTGGCTTGTTTCTAAGTGCTTCCTTTGGCTTATTGAAGGCCACCTCCTGTCTTTCAGTCAACTGAAATTCATTATTCTTCTTCCTCAAGTTCACAAAAGTTTCAATCATGTCGCTATATCGAGGTATATATTTATTATAAAAATTAGTCAAACCCAAGAAAGATCCTTCTTAGGACATTTGATATCCAAAATATGAAATTTTCTTGCAAATTTACACTTATCTCAATTAATTGTCAAGCCTGCATTACTCAATCTTCTCAGAATCTGTTCCTGTTTCATTCTGTAGCTCCTCCTCATTATGAGTGCCAATACTTGTGTCATCTTGATAGACAATGATGTTTTTTTTACTCATTCCAAAACTTTCTGAATAGCCTTTTGGAATATGTGGCTGGATGTTTTAATTCTAAATGGCAATGAGTCCACCTTAGAAGACCTATAAGAGTGATTATCATGATGACTTCTTGAAAATGGTTGTCAATTTCAATCTGATTATAAGCAGATTCCAGATCAATCTTGGCAAAAAATTTCATGCCAGCAAACTCATGTCAGGCTGTTTCAATATTTAGCAATGGGAAGGAGTCCAAACATATCTGGTGATTTACACCAACTTTGTAGTCACCACAAATTCTTAAATCGCCATTGGTTTTGCGTATGGACACGACTGGAGAAGCCCAATTGCTACCTCCCTGGCTGACTTTCTCTAATATTCCTTGTTCAAGCATTTTATTAAGTTTCACAATAACCACGAGCAGAAGGTGAACTGGAACTTTACGAGACTGAAAATATACCAGTTGGCTATTCTCTTTGAGCTTAATACTCACCTCGTAATCTCAGTTTTTTCTAATTTCATGCAATTAATTAACTTTGAGGTTAATATTCTCAACCCCCAGGACACCATGATCTTTTATGCACTCCACAACTATGATTGGTATTACCTTGAATCAAGTATTTGTTATGAACACTCCTTCAAAACATCTAAATGTTTTAATAACTGATCCATCCTCCTTAATTTCCACTAATAGTAATGCTGTTTGGCCAATGAATGCCAAATGTTTTCTGAATGGAAACAGATTATTTCACTATTACCATAACCTTAAAAATATCTACAATAATCATTCCAGGATATTTCCTATAAAGTAATTATTAAAAAGTTGATCTCCAATTATTGCCAGTGGAATAAATTTGATCCTCACTGGGTGTCGCTCTATTGTGTCTATGTGCCAGATAAAGATGAGTTGATATCTATATATAAACCATGCTAACTGCAATCAAATGTAATCTTCAGGGAGAGAGAGAGGGGGGGAATGTTGAAATTAAAAAATATGGTGGCTCTACTTACGGTAACTGTTCAAGACAATTGACTGCAAATTCTCTTACTGCTTTGTCTGCATAAGTAAAATCCAACAATGCCAAACTAAGTTCACAGTTGAGTCGTGGCCAACTGATAAGGAGAGCTTGCAACTGAAAGATATTTACATATTCATAATGAGAAAATGGCAAAATTCAATAGACTAGGTTTTAAACTAGGAACATACAAATTATCACAGGTAACTTAGGCTATTAATAATCAATAACTATATATTTACTTTGCATTGCAACTGAATACAGAATATGACAAAAGACATTTTACTGTAGGCTTTTAGCAAAAAAAATATTGCTTAGGCAACTTATTAATGATCCAATTATCAGTTCATGTTTAGGTACTCAGTCAAAATATTATCAAAAATATTTTTTTCAGTCTTTTTTGTTCATATTATCAAGATTTTCTTTTCTATTAATAGTATTTGTATTTATGTAATTTTTTAAAAAGTACCAATGCTGCATTATTACTATAACAAAATTAGTAAACAAACTGCTGGATGATGCGATAGAGTTAGCAATAAATTGTTTCACATATACATTGAATAAGAAACAATGCAAGTTGTCTCCCTTAACAGAAATTAAGTGAAACATTATAAAAGTATTAAAAGTACATTTTTTAGTATATTCTCTAATATAAATGTACACACAAAAGTAATAAGAGTCAGAGTCCTCATTAAGTACATCATATCAAAAAGTCACAAAACGGCTTCAACTGGACATAAATTGTTCATTTGACAAACTAGTGAAAATTGATAGAGAAATAATTGTCCTGGAAAATAAAATCTGAACATGTAAAAGATACTTAAATATAAAAATCTTGTCTTCCTGAACTAACAAAAATTTATTTAAACCACTGACCAGAAAGTGAAGTGGTGGTGTATGTGTGTGTGTGCAGTGGGGAGGGGTCTTACTTCATAGTGCTAGACTGCTATGTTATATTTAATCTTATATATGACAGTTTTGTTTGACAGCATATCAACCTCAATGGGTTATTTAATGACAAGATTTTTATTGCTGGTAATATTTTTTTCCTTCAAAAATGTATTGCTGGTTATAGTTTTTTTCTTCAAAAATTCATTGCTGGGAATAATTTTTTACAAAAATTTATTGCTGGTATTAAAACCTATTTTTACACTTTCATAGCGTTTTGGCCCCAGTTTGGTGTTAACTATTTACCTATAGCTGGGATCCTAACAGGTGCTACCACCCCGGCTCAGGGTGGACCTGGGAACACCAATAATTAAGAAGCGGTTCCACACTCCTCAGAACCTTCTGTTGGATTCAGTTTATCATCTTACCCAGGATACTTCATTTTTTTTTTTTGAAGCCCCAGCCGACAGGGCAGTATATATGACAGTGGATACTTGACAATTTCAGTGTAAATAACAAAAAGACTGAATCAAGCAAGACTTGGTTCTATTAACACATGTTAAAAATATGGACAGAGTTTGTAAGAACAGAGGAAGTGTAAAGGGGAAGAGGAACTACCAAAAAAAAAAAGAAACTTCTGCTAACAATCAGAAAGAGTTTTGAAGATACAATGAATAGAGACAGTTTGAAAAATTTAACACTCACAGGGAAGACTAGAGAAAGCAGCAAGAAACTTGACAAGTTTGAGAAAATAGATAGAGGAACTGGTTCAACAAAAACAAAAAGTGTGGGAAACAAAACACAGGAAGCTATGGAGAGCCATAATTACTCAGGTCCTGAAGAGAGCAGATGGAGAGAAAAAAAAAAACACTTCTTCATAAATTGCTTATCAATTAATCAAGACAGATTGTTTGCTGAGGGTGATATGAATAATCATTGAAATATTAAAATGAAATCAGATTCTTTAATAACAAAATATTAATAACTATATCACATGTATGCACCATGAATTAACATATATTAGATACATGCAATATGATTTCAAATTATTCAAATTTAAAACAATAAATATATAAAATGAAAAGGAATAGATAATTAAATAAAGCACAAAGTTCAGACAAGAAACAATCTAAAATATTAGTCCAAAACAAACAATAGAAAACTGAGAAAGGCACCCAGTGGCCTGTATACAGAGCTAACTAAAGTAGTAGTGGGAACACATGGTTTAAAGATTGTTTGAGATATGAAGTCACCAAGCTGTGTTCTTTGTTTACAAATGCTCTAGTCTTGATATTGACGATCTTAGATAAAATTAAAAACAAATAGTTTAAACTTTGCTATTTATGAAAAGTGCTCAATATCAGGGATAAAATGTTTGTAGATGTAGACCAATGATTCCTAACATGGGACACATACCCCACCGGTGAGGCATGTGTAGGATGTGCACCCTTTGGCTTGCTATACCAACAGAATAAGGGGACAATTTGAGAATGAGTTATTAACAGTGAATTTTTTTCTAGTATGTCTGAGTGAGAGAGTTAATGTATGTTAATACATATAATGCATATACAGTATGCATACATCAGAATATTTTGTGTGTATGTACGTACATATGTAATTGGCATACAGGGTATTTCCCGTCTCCCCACATTCTCCATATATTTTATATTTCTGCCTTTCAGTTCTCTATTGTTTTGAAACTCTATATATTTAACTCTCTTTTTTTTTTCTTCTTTTTTTTGTAATTTTTCTCTTTCATGGACACCATGGTCTTTGGAGGTTTGTTTAGAGACCAAGTTAATGGCCTTTTAAGCTTCCTTCATGTGAATTGCAGTTAAATTTTGAATATATAAGAATTAAATATTATTTTAGAAATACCAAAATGGGGTATGGCCCAAAATCAGTTGGGAATTACTGGTATATAGAATATTCATTTATTCTGAAATATTTTTATATTGTCCTTTCTTTTAATATCATAATTCTTTATTTTTTTTATTTAAAGATCTTTTGCCTATGTATATCATTAAGAACCTCTCATCAGATTGACAATTCAAAGATACCAATCTGTAATCCAATGATAGAAAGAAAATTAACTTTTACAAATGTTGACCAATCAGTGCATGTGAGCATTCAGTTTGCTTCCTTCAAGTGAATTGCAGTAAAATTTTAGAAATACTAAAGTGGGTCATGGCCCTATGTAGACAGTATGAATAAAGAAATTAATACTTAAGCAATCATCAGATACAATATAGTGATTGCTGAATGTATGAAGTTGCCAGTCAACCAATCAACTTGATTGCTATATCCACACTGTTCCGATATATCATTTTTACCCCAAGCAAGCCACTAAGATGCAGATGACTACCGAGAGTGGAAGAGTCTAAGAAAAAAAATATTATTAAGGAGAAAGGACAATAAAAGAACATAATTCAAGCAGACAGAAGATAACGATTGACACTGTATTTAAATTTTTGAAGATCAAAACTGACTGGAAAGCAAAAAGTCAGAAGAGAGTTCCAGAGGCAGGAAGTGCAAGAGAAGAAACAGTTAGAATAGAACATAGTTACATCTCACCATTTCAACTGTAAAAGGATGAGACCTAGCTGCCAATCTAGTACTGCACTTAAATTCATAAAGTCAAAGTACCAAAGAGGAAAGCTCACTATAACAATTACCATGAAAAAATTTGTAGAAAATGAACAAGCTATGTGACAATGGTGGGAAAGTGACTGAAGCTGAGATGCCAGGTGTGGACCAATAACATTACAGATTCTATGAATTTTGTCAAGAAACTCTAAATATATAGCAGAAGCACCAGACCAGATGTGGTAAGAATATTCAATGCATGGACAAATGGTAGACTTACAAAGGTTCAAGATAGATTCTGGCAAGAAAAATTGTCTAGCACGACACAGTGAACCAACTTTCCTAGCTGTGGACTTCGCAATTGATTCAATATAATTCTTCTACTTTCTGTCAGTGGAAAACATTAATCTAAGAAAGTGCAATGAGTCACTCTCCTGGCATTTAGCATCAGCCATGCTGATGAAGGGCCAAAATGTTTTTTATGATTAAAAGAGAGCAGTTTCATTTTGGTGGCGTTAAAATTAACAAGCCATTTTTTGCCCCGGTTAACAACAGATTGAATGGCATTTTTTATATCAGCTTCCAATTTGACCATATCGAATCTATCAGACTTATTTTCAGAGAGGAATATATATTTATGTCAGCATCATAGATAGCAAGTTGAGAACTGATGATATCAGGAAGGTTATAGATGAAACAAAGTAGGTCCAAAGATACAGCTCTGGGAGACACCCACATTAATATAAAAAGATCTAGAAGAGTGGCCATTCAAGACAACTCTCATTTCATGATCTAATCAGAAAGATTGAATCAGATCAAAAATCTGGCCAGAAATATAACTCTTCCACTTGTGAAGACCAGCATGCCAAACCCTGTCAAATAACTGAAATGTCCAAAGCAACAGTCCAATCTGACCCTTCTTATCAAAAAAAGGATACATTTTCAGCAATAAATGTTAATACATCAGCAGTTGACCTAGAGAAGCAAAAGTCATTTTCTTTTGTCTGATAGAAGAGCTAACGAAGTGAGATACTTAACCAATCTGGAGTTGATTAAAGCATCTAGAACTTTGCCAAAAAATATAGAATACTAATGTCAGTAAAAAGATCAGATGTTTAATTTATTGTAGAGTTTAGAAAGAATAGGAGTCATTTCAGGAACACAGGGAAGAGAATTTACTAGCAAAGCATTCAGCTTTATCAGTAGTATATGATAACACCTCAAATAAGTTTAAGAGTATTCTGTCAGAGAACAAAAACTTAGCTTCTTTGAGGACATGCTTACAATTATTATAAGTAGACACAAAGAGGTGTCTATTGTTCTGATTGGAGCTATCATGCTGGTATAGTTGGAAAAAGTGATTCCTCTAGACTATAGTGGTTGAACAGGAAGGTGCAAACCAAGAAGATAACACAAAAGCATCAATGCAGACAAGAAACCTCAGTTGTACGATTTTCAATAGGAAGGTTAAAGACTTCACTGCAATATTATATATATAACACTCACACAGTATGAGACAAAAAAATGGACACACCCATAGAAAGTTGATTTTTGTATTTTTTACCAAGACAATTGAGAAATAGAATTCATTTATTAATACAGGTGGAGCTTAAATAAGCCTGTATTGCTGCAACTTCACTTGT